GCCTCCGCCGCGCTCGCTCCCGCCGCGGCAGCGCCGTCCCCGCTCCCGCCGGCTCCCGCCGCGGCTCGGGCAGGCGGACGGGCGGCCCCGCGACCCCCGCCCCGCAGCGCCCGCCCCAGGGGCTCGGACCGCCGCCCCGTCTCCGCCGGCGCAGCACGAGCCATGCTGCTCCTGGCCGCCGCCTTCATCGTGGCCTTCGTCCTCCTCCTCTACATGGTGTCGCCGCTCATCAGCCCCAAGTCTCTCAAGCTGCCCGGCGCGCACGTCGTGGTGAGGGAGGCGCCCCCCGGGAGGGGGACGGGGCCGGGGGGAGGAGGGAGCGGGCGGGCGGCCGCCGCCGCTCGGCCTTGGCGCTGGGGGAGGCGGGGGGGCCTTCCGAGTCACCCTCCCCCGGCCATGGTGTCCGCTGGGGAAGGGACGGGCGGAGGGAGAGAAGCCGCTCCCTCCGAGATGGGGGCGCAGGCTGCGGGAGGAGCCAGAGGGGTGGCTGCGGGAATCCCGCTGCAGGAGCGGGGGGAGCATCTCGGCGAGGAAGGAAGGTTTGGGGGCGCAGCGTGCCCGAGGAGGGGCTGGCGGCCGGGGAGCCTCAGCGCCAGGGGTGCCCGCGGGATCGCGAGGAATCCCGGCGAGCTGGCGGTGACACCCCGAGCTACCAAAACGCGGGAGCCACAAGTCCCGGGTGATAAGGAAATGACCTGTCCCGATGGCTCTGACAACCGCTGTGTGTCCCAATTGGCTTAAGGCGATGGTCTGAGTCACCATCTTCCAGTCTCAACGCTGGCTTTTTGAGATATTCCTTTTGCGCTCTCCAAGTCACCGGTTACCTCGAGTTTTGTTTCCTGTTAGCATCTCCCAAGATATTTAAGTGGTGGGGGGGTAGGGTTGGTGGGTGCACTCATAAACAAAAGGAAAAACGTATTGTTTCCTTGGTCTAAGAAACCAAGCCAGGTATGAGGAAACGGAAAAAAAATAATACAAAGGAAGTGGTCAGATGGCACTGGGGCATCTTTTCATCTTTGAGCACATAGATATTGATGCCTTTGAGCAGTATTTTGGCAAGGTAGTAGAAAGTAAGCCTTTAGAAAGAAGCCTTCAGAAGAACGTGCTGTTAAAACAGTCCGCGAGTGGTACGCCACTAGAAGTTGTGTGAGTTTGTGGCTTGGGGAGGGGGGATGGAGGAAAGGGGAGCACTACCCAGATGCTTTCAGGTGGGTCACAAAGTAATGAATTTGGACACATAAGAGCAAATGAGTTAAGCAGTTCAAAGATTCGTAGTCCTAGGATCAGCTTTTTAAACTCAGCTCTAAATCCCCAGGGTATGTATGTTCTGTGCAGAGAAAATGTAGTATACTGTTAGGTTAAACTTACTTTAAAGGGTGAGTAGTGCTTGGAGATGCCTTTTATCAGAGTGGGAGTTTGGGGTAATCCTGAAGTGAGATCTTTTAGGTGTGAGTTTACAGATACTCTGAGGTTTTGGTTGCTAGTTTTTGTTTGGTGGGGGTTTGGGGTTTTTTGGTGGTTTTTTTCTTTCTCGAGCTCTGTATGATGCCTGTTGTTTGGGGTTTTATTATTATTATTTTTGGAGTTCCTCTTTGGAGGATGGAGCTGTCCTCAGAGTAATATAGATCTGTCCAAGTTGCAGTAGTATTTCCAAGTTACTTTATGCAGTAGATGTTACTTGCATGCTGTTACTGGCTTTACAACAGCATCATACTCTGTGTGAGGTGTGTTCAAGGTTGCTTTAAGGTTCTCAGCTTATGGCTCTTTCCCCACAAGAGTAATGATTATTAAGGAGGAACCTTTCAGTACTGTGCAGAAGCAAAGGTGAAGGAGACTTAAGGGTCTTCTGTGACTTTTATGAAGAAACAGAAGAGCAAACATAAAAAGTTAAATAGATTTTATTTCAGGTTTTTTGTTTGGTTTTATTTATATATACAATGATTATTCAAAGCTTTGTCCATTCTGTATAGTGATTAAACACTTTAAAAGTTAATTTTGCTGGTTCTTCTAATCAGAATCAGAATGCTTCATTTAAAAAAATTCACATTGAAAATTATGAGAATGTTCTTGTTGGAGAAGCCTCCCTGTAGCTGTTGCTGCTAATTATATTAATAGTTAAGTTCGATTTGGTACAAGAGGAAGTCTAAAGAACAATATTCCTGCAACTCTTATAAAATTAGGAGTTTAGCTAGAGAAGTAACTACAAGAATATATTAATGGAGGAAAAGGCTGTAGATATATCTAAGTTGATTACACAAATAGAAATCTGCGGGCAGACAGTTTTATTGGTGTCACCACTTGCAGAATTACTTGTTTGATTTTTGACTTCAGTTATGCTCTTAAAGTGTTCATGAAAACTAATGAAATATGGAACAGTTGTTCCAGAGTTCACTACTTCTTAGATTTGTAGATGCTGTTAATAATGCTGGACACTTGTACATTTGGATTTCAAATTTTCTAATGTCATACATAAAGAAAAATATTGGATGATGGTAATGTAAATCAGAAATATTGTTCAATAAGGCTTTCCACTCTGTGTGTATGAACTGAATTCTTTCATCATATGCTGGGAGTAAATGTTCTCTGCTACTGAAATGACTGAGAGACTTCATAAAAATATTTAAGGACCACAGCATTATCTAAGGACTTCTTCAAAGTCTTCTCACAGAAAACCAGCAAAATCTGTTTAAGTATCAGGCCTCAGTTAAACCCAGTCTTGAAATAAATAAAAGAATAAAGACCTGCAAATTGTATGTTTAGCTGGTTAAACCCTTTCAGAGGGAGACTGATTGCCATTGCACAGTAAATATAATTTTTCAGGATATACCTCAATAAATTGCTTTTCTGAAGCAGAAAAAAATCAGTCTTATCTACTAACTCTTCTTTCTGGGGGCCTGTTGAAAGTATGGTGAAAATATATCTGTTGCTTTCCTGAAGGAAGGTCATTGGGCAACTTAAGAGGCTGTTACATACCAATTGTAGAATTTTCAACTGAAGTCAGCATTCTTTTCACTTCTGATCCTTCAGAAAAAATATTTTTTCTTCACTCCTAACAGTTATGGTTAATAGATGTTTGAATTATGGCTAAGTAACTGACTCTGCCTGCCTTTTGGAATAGGAATTGGAAGCAGAAAACTTGTGTGTTTTTCCCCTCTGTCCTCTCCCAGAGTCATTTGCATGATGGAAGCATGACTCTTACACTTGCTGTGTAAGGCGAGACATGGTTTCTGGAGAAATCATAGAGTTATAAGAGTCTCTTATTCTTAGAAAAGAATAGGACTGCTATTCAGAGTGAGAGTCTGCAGAACTCTGAATTACTCATCGTCTAATCTTGTGGGTTCCCCCTCTGTCCATATCTGCAATGAATTTTTGTGGCCTCACTTAGCATCATTACATTAAAAGGACTTCTCTCAAATTGTCTAAGGCATCAGGTTTGGCTTATTTTAAACAGAATGCCTTTTAGATGTTTAATACTACTTTTTTTTCTTTTTTTTTTTTTTATTTCTAACATGTCTAGGAAAATGTTCTCAAATAAAGGATATAAAAGTTACTTTTGTGCTGTAGAGCTGCTGCTCCTTGTGCTGAACTTCTCTATGCTTTGAAATTCAGAAGACTGTTTTATACAACTTTTATTTTGCCATTGGCTTTAACTCTCTCCTTGGGTCTCAGGCTACATACTAGTACGTGTCATCAATTCTGTAAGAGTAAGCTATTTTGGTAGCTGGTTATAATGGTAGATAGGAATATGAAAATAGGATAAGACAGTCACCATTGCTTCATGTGCACTGTACTCGCTTGTATCACATTTAACTGCCCTTTGTCAGGGATGTTATGCCTGTTCTATACATGTTCTCTGTGCCTTTTCTTTTCCTTTTTCTACAGAGGTACTTTGCCTGATGGAAAAGAATGCAACAAAAACTTAAGATGTTAGTGCAAAAGCAGCATTCTGTAAATTTCCTGAGTGACATTTGAAAACTATCTTTGGTGAAATTTTATTGGTAGTCCCCTCTCCTTGTTTCAACCTTAATCTTTCTAAAACCAAGTTGAAATTTGTGACAAAAAAAAAAAGAAAAGAAACAAACAAACAAACAAAACAACGGCAACAAAAAAAAAACAAACAAGAAAAACCCCAGCACAAAACACCGAAACACAGAGATGTCAGTGTTATGAATGCACTTTATCAAAGTTTGTGGATTAGCAATGGCAGGAAATGTAAAGATATTATCTGCTTGGCACTGTCTCCTGTGCAGATTGACAAGAACCCTTTCATGTGAATGTAGTTCAGGATGGTCATGCCAAATCCTCCTGCAGATGGGTCGTCTTTAGTCCAGAAGTAGTTTCCCCACTTCTGCATAGAACCTGACTTGATAGATAACTGCAGCCAACTTTAAGGCTGGCCAATCTTGGTGTCTCGACATTGTAGCTCCTGTGTTGGGGCTGATATGGTCTGTGGTTTGGATACGTCCACGTGGTTTGACAGGAGGTCATTTTGAGTCTAGTCAGGCATCCTAACCACGTACGCCAGATTAAAGGGATGTTCTGTTTCAGTAGAACTAAATACCTTCTACTGGAGCACTGTCTGAAAGCATGAAGCCAGCCTGCATCCAGTTCTAGGTGAAAGTTAATAAGTTCTCTTGGAGATACCATACCAGGTTTTGATTTTGATCACTCCTAATGACAGTTCTGTTAATTTGGAGTTGAACTGTCTCATCAATTGAAGTGAATTTCCAGTATCTCAAATTTGAAACTCAGAGCAATTCTCTGTACCTCATCTCTCTATTTCCATTTATAAGGGGGAAATAAACCCTAAAGTTGAACTGTGTTATCAAGAATTTTAGCTTCAGAAGTTGGAGCCAGGTGCTTTTATGAACAGCTAGTTTGATGTATTCTTAAACATAGAAACAACTCAATAACACTGCTCAAGACCTGGTAGTGCTGCATTCTGAGCATCTGAGTTAATACTAGGATTTAATTGTTCCTTCTTGTAAAAAAAATTAGTCTGTGATTTGAGTTGCAGTGACCTGATTTTTTATTTTTGCTAACTCCTTTGATGCTGGGTTACAGTGAAATTTAAAAATGGGATCAGTGGCAATTCAAATGTTGGATACAAATGAGATACAGTGTAGAACCATTGACCACAATGGTAAGTTACCATAATAATGTCCTCTTTAATGAGGTAGATATGTGCTCTTCTGTTAGTTCTGAGCATCTGTGTTAGTAACTTAGCTACCTAACAGACTTCATAGATGTGCTTAGGCCGACTTCACTTTTTCACTGGTGTTAGGGATTTTTTTTACATTAGCATTCATGGTTAACGCTCCTGAAGAATGTGTATATTACTAACAACCTCCCACATGCTCGTAACAGCCTCCCACCTAAATGCTAAAGTTCCCAGCTAATTGATATTTCATTTTGTCATCGACCAATCTGACATGAGCCCTATCCAGTGTTCTTGGGTATGACTGTAAATAAAAAACTTCCTTTTTCCATTACTTGCATGGCTTCAGACCTTGTCTTTCTGAAATGAATATTAGCCTTGTTTGACAAGCTGGAGACTTGGTGCCAGTACCTTCACCTGCAGAAAATTCCTCAAGCACTTGGTGTAGTTGACCCGTTCATGATACTCACCAGTTTGTGCAGGTAGTAATCTGCTGTCTTGCAGTGCTACGCCAAAAATTGGAATTGGAGCAATCTTCCATGCACCTTGATTAGTTCATGTTCTTGTGTACTTGCTGCTGTTGAAAATCTGTAGAAGCATCTCACAAGTGCTGTGGAACTGAGATCTGATCGAATGTATCACACTATTTTTTCAGATACGTATTGAAATCTTGCAATGTATTTTAAAAACTGTAGTGTATTTGTGACTTCTTTCCATAACAAAGCATTAAATTAATTCTGTAGTTCCGCTGAAGTCCCAAATCATTAATTAACACTTGCAACTCTTGTGGTCTTCATTTACTCTGAAAGCAGTCATCTTTGGTTGATAATCTACAGACCAGGTTTCACATTTCTAGAACAGGACACGTGTCTTGGAGTCATCCTCAGAGGTTAGTATGGTGTGAAGCTAATCTTGCAGAGTCAGTTAGAAGTTAATCTGAAGCAGTTCACTCTAATAACAGAGGAAGCCTAAAGAGCTGAAATTAGTCTTTGTGGATGTTACGCCCATTCTTGGCCCATTTGTGGCTGAAGATGAACCAACCAGAAACCATGGATAGTGTTGTAAGTCTTTGCTGGGATTATTTGATATGCACTAAGCTGTATTTGAAAGTAAGTGGTAAAATACTCAAATGAAAGAAGAGTTTAGTGACTCATGGGAATGTACTTCTGACTCTTCTGACATTACTGCCTCCAGGAGTGGAAAGAATTTTGTGGATAGTGCATCCCTGAATACAAAACTGAGGCACTGTCAAATGAGGACATGACACAAAGCTTTTGATAGGGCGTGTAGTTAGAGATTGGGATCTTTGCTCTTACCCTCATTAGCTCAGTGCCTCCATTTTCTTAAAATGGAGGTGATGTGTTTCTCTGGAGTCTTTGGCAAGGTTTTGATAAAAAGCAAAAGATGATGATTTTCAGAGAAATCTGAATTTCATCTTTTTCCAGTTAGTAGAGAATTTGTATTTCTTAACTCATTTAATCAATATGGGTTTTTTTTACAATAACTGCTTCTAGGTATTTTGTTCCAGTATTTTCTCAGTATGACTCTTAATGTGTTGTTAAAGAAAAATTCAAATAAATTGGGTATATAAGGAAGATACCAGTGTCTATTTGAAAACCAAAGGCACATGCAGACTGAGAATGATCCAAAGGCACGTCAGGCAGACATTTTTATTTTAGTCAAAAAGAGAGGGCAGGGTTGTCATCTGCATCTTGTTCCACACGTAGTTCATAAGTAGGTTTATTGAGGTTAGTGAGAGAGGTGGTAAGGTGACCTTAACTTGTATATTGGTATAATTTGGCACGTGTCATCCATGTGATAGACAACTGTAGTCATCCCTGCATTTGTCTATAGACAAAATATTAACTTCCTGTTTACATATAAGACTACTTCAGTGTTACAGTTTGGAGGAAGAAGAAAAGGTTGCAGAAGTTTAGGTACTGGAATCGGCACTAAATTGAAATTGAGGGGTGGCACAGGGGCAGATCAGGGTCCACACTGGGGGAATCACAAATATACCACAGAGAGACAACTGTTGAGTTAATGGGATTTTTCTTTAATAAGAAAGAAAGTATTTTCTATTTATGTGATGATATCTTCAGAAGGCACTATGCAATTGCCAATTTTACAAATAACTTCTACTGTGACAGGTATGAAGGGGTGGTATGTAATTGTGTTATTATGGCATTAATAGTGATTTCAAGCTTCTAGCAACATGCTTTTAGAAATAGCATACAGACTTAGTCAAAAGCATGTGAGAGCGCTGACGTGGGAGTGGGTCTAAGTGTGCCTGACATAAAAAATGAGCAAAAATTGCCACTGAGGTAAAACTGGGTTTGGGGTAGAAACAAAGATTCATCAGTCTACTCAGATCATATTTTTCATTCATACTCAATAAGTAAGCTAACAGTATCTTCTGTATTTGTATCTCATCGTGTAATATTTTAACCTCAATATGTTTTCAGAAGTTTCATTTCATTTGACTTGTACATATGGGAGAAGGAATGAGAATATTGGAGTAACGCTGCCTTTTTCAAATAACTTTTAGGTAACTGGAGGCTCCAGTGGAATTGGAAAATGTATTGCTATTGAATGTTATAAGCAAGGTGCTTTCATAACACTGATTGCAAGAGATGAGGTAAGTGTATGTGTATTTTCTACTGGCTAAACTCTGTTCACAAAATATAGGTGGGGGATAATTTTGGAATTGATAATTATTCATACTTCTTTGGTGTATATTGTAAGGGGACCCTAGGCATTCCAAATTAATACCTTTGAATAGCAGAGGTGGCCACCTTTTTAAGAAGCATAGCCCAACATGGAATTTGTGATTAGCATGCCTTAAAACTTTGCCAGAGCTATTGCTTCTGTTAATGGCATTCATTATTTCACTTAGATCTGTGCCAGAGGACGAAAGCAGGAAAACCCCATATTCTTTAAAACTGTAGAATTTCCCTACAGTGACAACTGGGGGATTAAAAACAGTTCCTAAAATTCACAGAATATATTGGTGTCTAGTCAGCATTATATTTTTTTACTAGTGAAAAACTCTTCATCAGGGAAAAGGATTGGAAGATTTGGAAGAAAAATGATTGCTTTGTCGGGTTTGTTTTTCTTTTTGGTTTGGGGTCCTTTTAACTAAGAGGTATTCAGATTTAGTTGGAATGACTCTGTTTTTGGAATGGGCTGTTATTTTACTTGTAGAGAAAAAAAAATTATTTGGGGAATAAAAGCGTATAACTATTTTTTGGCTCTCTGTCCCAGCTGTCTTTGATAATTTACTTACACTAGACAACTTAGTTTGCATAACCTTGAATGTAGTCAGATTTAACAGAATTTTTCTTGAAAGGATTATGACAATTTGAATTTACCAGATTTTAAGTTTGTCACTGTGATTTCATGACAGTGATTGTTCTTCAGAAGAGTCTATGTGATGTCAAATACATATAAAATAGAGCCAAAATGGAGAAAAATTATTTTCTACAGCGTTAGGTGCTCTCTGTAGTATGGAACAAAAGCATTAAATCTATAGAAGTCATTACTGGCTTTGGAGGACTAAGTGAAAAACAGATAAATGAGCTCTGATAGCTTGATAGATTTCATGTTTTGATCATATGTCCATAAGTCTTTAAAATTACAACACTAAAATAAATGCTTTAACTAGTCAAGGGTAACTTTGGGCTTTAGGGGATGTTTTTAAGCCTTATTGAAGTACTGAAGACTAAAATTGCTCTCAGCACGACAACGATTTAGCTGTCTTTTTATCCATTTCAGAACAAGCTGTTGCAGACAAAGAAGGAAATAGAAAAGTATTCTGTTAATGACAAGCAGGTAAGATCACTGGTAAGAGGGACTTGTGTGTTTTGTTTAAGATAATCACTACAACATAGTTCTGTAGTCCTGTCTTTAAAACAAAACTGTTTGACAAAAATAAATGAGGACTCAGTATTTGAATTCAAGATTCAGACTGTTTACATGACATGTTCTGAGCTCTTGCTATGTTTGATGTTGCTTAGCTAGTGTGTTAGGCTGCTTTTCTTAGTAAAAGATTTCTTCAACTGTAGGTGTAGCATGCTTTTTTGGATCAGTGCAATTTACTGTCACTTGGTAAGCATTTTATTCTTTCAGATGAAGTGGAAAAACCAGTTTTTTTTTTCTACAAATATCTTGCTTTTTGCATTTGTTTTGGGAAAGAAGTGTAGATATTTGTTCCCAGGTTTATTTCACTACATCATACTTGTGTTCCTTTTCCTAGCAAAGTACTGTAACAGATACACAAGTTAAATTTGTGAAGTTCTGAGACTTAATAAACATAGAAGCTGCTTTGCTGAATAGATAATGCATTTGTGCATAGAGGCAATGATTTAGACCTTGCAGAAGTACTAACTTAGAATAGGTAAGCTTGCTGTGTTCAAAACATGCAACTTCGAGGCAAAATGCTAAAACAATTTTTTCTCAGTACTCATAATGAAGGGAGAGGGAAAATAAAATTGAAACTGTTGATATCTTTGATTTCTCCTTTCTTGTGTTCCAGAACTTTGTTGATCATGAAAGTCACTTAGTAACTAAGTTAGTTTCATGATTACAAATAGAAGCAATTTATTTGTCCATGAAAAGGGATTTGAATTAATAAATTAGATATTCGGTTGAAAAGAAGCAATGAAAGAAGTTGAATATTTGCAGGCAATAACGTTAATACTAGTTTATATAGAATTTTCCTAATGCCTCCATTTGTAAGATTTTTGTCTTCACTTCTTTATATTTTTGTCAAATGGCTCAAGATGATTTTTTTTTCTGTACATGCTGCCTTACTCAGATCAACTTTGTTTGAAAATCTAAGCCATTTGAGGTGAGGAGAAACTGTATTTTGCCCATTAAAAAAAAAAAAAATCCTGGTAACCATTTTCTTTTAGCTGCTCTAGCAGTTTCCCAAGCTTAGCATTACAGTTAATCCCTTGTCAAACACTGTGTCAGGATGTTCTTGTTAAAATCTGTCCGAGCTTGATAGATGCAGACTTTTAAAAAGAGTATTATTCAGTGCATGTTCATAAGAGTTTCAGTGAAAATCTCTAAAAGTATCTTCAAGGCTGAGCAAGTGTGGGCTGAACAGGACTGCTTTGGCAGAAGCAGCTTTGTACTTGCAACCAGGTTAAGCAGTAGGCAGTGGAGGTGATGGGTAGGCCAGCTCTTCTGTAGCTATTGTTGAGTGGTGGACATGGTCTCAGGGAAGCCTGCCTGATCTAAATGCAAAGAACAACCGGAGAAAGCAGGGAGTCTGGGGCAGAGATTGCACTGGAACAGCAGATCAAAATCTGGGAAGTGACAGTAGCTGAACCAAGAGAAGCTGTACGAAAGGATTACTGAAAGAGTGTAGAGAAGGATGATGTCTGATAGTGGATAACATGGACAGATGGTTACATTTGATCATAGAATCATAGAATGATTTGGGTTGTAAGACACCTTAAAGATCATCTACTTCCAAACCCCCTGCTATGGGCAGGGACACCTTCAACTAGACTAGGTTGCTCAGAGTTCCATCTTGGAACTCTGCCTGGCCTTGAACACTCCCAGGCATTGGGCATCCACAGCTTCTCTGGACAACCTGTTCCAGTGCCTCACATAAATAATTTCTTCCTATTGCTATCTACTTGCTTTCATTAAAGCCACTCCCCCTTGTCTTATTATTACATGCCCCTCTTCAGCTTTTTTGTAGGCCCCCTTTAGGTACTGAGAGGCTGCTGTAAGGTTGCCTGGAGCCTTCTCTTTTCCATGCTGTACAACCCCAGCTCTCCCATAGGAGAGGTCTCCATAGGAAAGGTGCTCCATCCCTCTGGTCATCTTGATATTCCTCCTCTGGACTCAATCCAACAGATCAATGTCCATCCTGTGCTGGGGGCCCCAGAGCTGGATGCAGCACTCCAAGTGGCGCCTCATCAGAACGGAGTAGAGGGGCAAAGTCACCTTCCTTGACCTGCTGGCCACGCTGCTTTTGATGCAGTACAGGATAGGATTGGCTTTCTGGCTTGCAAGCACACATTGCTGGGTCATGTCCAGCCTCTCATCCACCAGCACCCCCAAGTCCTTCTCAGCAAGGCTGCTCTCCATCTGTTTATCCTCCAGCCTTGTATTGATAACAAAGGTTGCCCCAACCCAGGTGCAGCACCTTGCACTTGGTCTTGTTAAACTGCATGAGATTCCCATGGGCCTCTCCTCGAGCTTGTCCAGGTCCCTCTGGATGGCATCCCATCTTTCAGGTCTGTCAGTTGTTCCACTCAGCTTGGTGTCATCTGCGAACTTGCTGCAGATCCCTTCACCTGTGTCATTGATGAAGACATGAAATGGTCCCATATCAAGCTAAGATGTAAAGATCCTCCGCAAAGATTACTTTTTTTCTTGGGCATGTGCTGTCACTGTTCAGCTCTTGGATATATACATGAAACCAAGTTGCATTGACAACCAGTGTCTGACATATACATACATTTTAGTGTTTGCATGTGATGTAGAGTGCTGAGGTGTGGCTTTTATGGATATAGGTGTGCAGTGGAACAAAAATCCTTGCCATTAGAGTTTTTTTTTCAATATTTTTTAAATCCTTTTTCTAATATAGAATATTCCCAGTTATTTCACTGGGACTTGAATTGATCCTTTATTGGGAAAGCTTTATTAATGATCCAACAGCATGCAGTATTTAAAACAAATGGTAAGGAACAGAACTGGGGATATTAGACTATTTCTTTTAGCATATTCTATGTCCTAGATGTGGATCTATAGTCTATGCTTTGGAATGGAGGTAATTAATATATTGTAGCAGAAAGAACGTATGATAATAGAAGCAGGGAGGTGAATTGTATAATGTGATAGTAGTCAATAAAAGTTGCGATAGTTCCTGTGTATGTTGTTCATGATATAAATAATCTATGCAATCTGATATAATAACAAATTGCTCCAATTTTGATTCAGAACTGTGATTTATTTAAACTCTTCACTGATCTTGCAAAGACATCCAGATAATAAATCGATGTTGTTTTCATTCAACTGCTCTTTTGTTTTTAAACATACGGAAAAGATAAATGTTTCCAAAATGTAGTACATGCCTTAAGGGGAGATGCATACAGTCCCGCCAATAACTTGTGCCACAAGTTTACTCTGATGTCCAACTACACACAATGCTGGGAGGCAGGAATAGCCAACCTGCTGTACAGGAATGGCAGGCAGATTCTGTTTATGCAGCTAAGAAGTGTCACAGTCTGACCAGGGGCAGGACTGACAAATGACTAGCTGCCAAAGCAGTTAGTTACGCTGTGGTAAGCTTGTGTGTGTGTGTGTGTTGTGCCCATCTGCTCCATGACAAGTGGTCATGAGGATACTTGTTACAAACTACTGATGACTTTATTTTATTTCACCTCTGAGTTTAAATAATTGACCAAAGTAACAGAGAGTATAGAAGTTGGAACAAGAATCCAGGAATCCCCCCTTTTATTGCAATAGAAATTTCTTTTCTTTTCAAGATGAGGAATTGCCCTGACGCTCTGTTGATGGCTTAGCAGAGAGGGTAACTGATATGTCAATACCTGGCATTTGCAGCAGTCTTAGAGTTTGTAAGTGGTAGCCCAAAAGAAGCAGTGCTTGCTTTGGCCAGAAGTTGATTTTGAAGGTACTTCAAAAGATAGATCATGAGACTATCTTGCTGAAAGTAATCAGTAACTTTCAAGGAAATGGCCTAACTTTTAGCTGACAAGAAAACTTAGATATCAGTATCATCTATTTTCTGTTGTCCTGCCTGCCCCTTTCTCCCAATTCATCCTTAGCCAATGATTATTTTAATTTTTCTGTATCTTTCAAATTAAACCCCTTAATGTCTGATTTCCAGACAAGGAGTAAATATTACTTCACTTCTTAGTTATTTACAACTCTGTTCAATGAATCAATTTCTCATAGAATTTTTATTTTAGTTTCGTCCTTGACATGTCCCCATGAAGCAGTACGCAACTAGGTTTACTACTATTCTTAAAAAAAATATTTTATGAAATAAGGAGGTAGCATGCATTGCAAGTACTAAAGTTAGCAGGTTTTTAACACTTGCTTTCTAAATTTTGGAACAGAACTTGTGGTGCTGCACTTTCAGGGCAACACTCTGCAACCATGCCTTTCTACGATGTGGGGAAAAAATAGTTTTTTTCTTAAAGAGGAGCCTAAGCCACACAAATGGTTTGGCTTGTTTAGCACTAATGAAAGTTAAATGTATCACTGTAGAATTTTGATTGTCTTAGTTAAAATAGATTTTACTTAACTTCATGTAAATAGCTCAGGCAGTAGTGTATCTTAGTACAGTAAATTAGAGATGCTATTTTCTACGAGTTGCTGCTTTGAGGATCATGAAGTGTTTATTTGTTCTTAATGTAATCTTTATTATACTAGAATGTGTGTGTGAGGGGGAGGAGCTTGGAGGGAGCAAGGATTGCTTTCTCCAGTGTGGCAGAGGTGCAAACTGTCCTGTCAAAAAGACTGGACAGATACATCGGGCTTGTTTCATTTTGAAAGGCTGAGACTCAACAGTTACTGGACTTAGTGTGTTGTGACAATGTTCTTTCACTTTCCTTTTCTAGGTTGTACTTTGTATTTCTGTTGATGTGTCTAAAGACTACGAACAGGTGGAGAATGTTCTAAAACAGGTGAGGAAAAAACTGATTCACCTATGTATCTTAAGCCTTATCCATGTGTCGTATTTCTATTGGAAATAGTTTCTTATAATTTATACTGTGATATAGGAAGGTTTTTTTTCCCCGCTAAAGAGTGTCTTAACCTCTATCCCCTTTTCCAGGCTCAGGAGAAGCTGGGGCCAGTTGACATGCTTGTAAACTGTGCAGGAACATCAGTTACAGGAAAATTTGAGGATATTGAAGTGAATTCTTTTGAAGTGAGTGAGCATACTTTTTTAATTTCATCATATGATAATTTCTTATTTAAGCATTCTAACAATTAGATTGCATTCCTTGCAGTCTTTGCAGAGTTTGTAGGAGTACACCTGATTTGTGCTTGCTGTCAGAGTATCTTTAGATTTGCAAGGGTTGCCTCTAATTTCTCACTTATCTATCAGTCCATTGATGGGTCAGAAGAGTGAATTATCCTTCTGGGACAGAGCGTCCTCAAGATGGCAGAAAAGCCTGGCATTTATTTTTTTTCGGTTAAGGCCTGTGAAAGGCACTGAATTTCACATAGTTTAATTTTTTTTCTGGTTAAGATTTTTAAAAATATTTCTAACCTGTTTAAGAAAAAATCAGCTGTTATCAATGTTAAGTAGTGAGGTGCAGAAGTTGTTTCAGCTTGAGAAGCTGCTGCTCTGGTGAAAAGACAAAAAGCAACCCCAAACCATCTGTATTTTGGTTACTTTATGCCTGCAGCCCTCAGACCTCCATTCATCTACAGATAATGTTGAATAATCTGAAAATATTAAATAGGTATAATTTTATAATAAGTCTGAATCATCCATTCTATTGCTTATATAGACTATCAGTTGTTTTTTAGGTCTTCTAGAGAGTAAATTCTCCTTATCCTGGCAAAGATTAAAATCTCTGAAATGCATAAATACGTTGCATTTTTCCTGTTTCCTGTTTTAGAAGACTCTTTAAACTTTCAGTATGTTTTCATACGTAATGCATAAATGGATTGCTTCCTGGACATTGTTCAGGTTAGCTTTTCCCTCAAATACTCTTCTTTTTTCTTTTAAGGACATGTGGTTCACAGTATTATCAGTATCCTGGATGCTATTAAGACTTATAGATAGACAGGATTTCTTTTGGCTTAAAGTGAGTTTTTTAGCTATAAAAGTTTATGAAGCTTTAGAATAAAAAACTGTTGTTTCTTTTACCAGCTGATAGAACTACAGATCTAGTGAACTTGATTGTTAAAGCAGGCTGAAATAGGGGGATTTTGATAAGACCAAACAGCTGGATCTGTGGCTCAAATACCATATTAATATCGTTTGTACAGAGATTAATGGCGGTCAATTATCTGGGTAGTGTTTACCCGAGTCGAGCAGTAATTGCTACCATGAAGGAACGAAGAATGGGAAGGATTGTATTTGTATCATCTCAGGCTGGGCAATTAGGCCTATTTGGTTATACAGCTTATTCTCCAACAAAATTTGCTCTTCGAGGGTTGGCTGAAGCCCTGCAAATGGAGGTACGTGTGCAATAATTTTAAGTAATTTTGATTATAAACATTTTTTTTAAACTGTCAGTGAAGGGCATTTTCATTTAAATAGTTGTTTCTTGCATTGTGCAGCACTGCTAATATCCATGTGCTATTGGCCCTTTCTTGGCGGCAGTACATTCCTATTGCTTCACCTGGGGTTGCAGAAACGAAGATGATTTCAATTGCATTAGAGGGAATAGATTGAATCTGTTCCTAGAACTGACTCCCACATGTGCAGACATTTTTTTAATCTTTTAACTAAAAGGACTTGATTTTTTCGACTTGAGTAAAAGTTTTCTTCAAAGTCCTAAGTGCAGGATGATATTGAAGATCACATGGATGCATGAGGGGGAGGCTGGTGATTCCCACCTTGCTTCTCAGTCCATGGTAAGTGGTATGTGAACCATATGAAACAGTAATACTTGCAACCTAGTATTTGATGACTGGCCACAAAAAAAAATTGTGTTGACAGTGGTTCACCCTTCTAAATTTTGATACATATAAGCTTTTTATACTGCAATGATCTAAGCTTATTCTTAAGTTCTGACTAAAGCCAAACACCCTTTTCATTATTCAGTGGAACAAGGTTGGTAAGTACATTGTAGTAAGACAGATAAAACTGATTTGAAAATTACTTTTCTTATTCTTCTGTTAAGAATGTATATTTGAGTTGCTAAGTGTTTATATAAAAACTGCCTGTGTTTGGTTCTAGACCCTTGCATAGTCCCTGTTGTATGCCTTGATTCATGATAAGAATGTGTGGTAAAACTGACTCTAGTCACTTCTGGTCTGCCAAATAGAACAATGCAAATGTAGGGTCTTTCTTCAGGCTGGTGACCGATATTTTTGTGAAGACTGAATTACTCACGACTAAAAACAGGGTGTTTATGGGCCTCTGATGTGGTATTTCAGTGTTTTCAATATAGAATGTTTCATAAAAAATAAAAATGCTTAGTATTTTACGACACTTTGCTTTATCATAGCCCTCTCTAATATTTTCATTAAAAACTTTTTTTATTTGCATTGGAGTACAGATTTGCTTTGTATTAGTTTTAGAATAGTAGTGCACTAAGCCATGTTAATTCCATGACACTTACATACAAATACATACCTAAATGCAATCCTTGACGTAAGACCTTCCAGTTTTTCTCACATTTTCTACTTATTTTTTGTCTCCTTAGACTTTGACCTCTTGCAAGTTTTTACCATGGGTTGAAAAGCCTTGTGACTTGAGTATGCCTCTTAAAGATAACAAATTTGAATTTTATCTTTTTGTTGTTTATTTTCTCTTATTTGTCCAGCAGTGAAAATACATTGATGGAAACAACAAGGGAAAAGCCTGTTAATGTGCCCCAGTGAAAGCCTTTTTGGCCTTGTGTTTATAAATGTTGGGTACTGGTATTTGGCAATAGTTTAGTCTTTTTTTAAAAACTGAAATTGGTACAATTATAAACCTAAACTACTTTCATATTCCTCCTAAATGTCTTAGATTCATCAAATAATTTGCAAAGTCTTTACAGACTTTTATTAAAAAAGCACCACAACCCCCTTTTTAAAATCTTTGCTGTTGTGCTTTTTCACTTGACAAAGCTGCAAGTCTTGTAAGTGCTGAATACTTAACACTAGAAGCAATTTGAATTCATGCTTCCTGAATTTCATCGGTACAAGAGAAATCAGTGAAATCATGAGGGACACGTAAAGGCTGTCAGTATTAAGATAATACTTAATGCTTTTGTAAAACACAGGTAAAACCTTATAATGTCTACGTAACGGTGGCCTATCCTCCAGATACTGATACACCTGGATTTGCAGAAGAAAGTAAAACAAAGGTAAATTGTCCTTCAGTAATACTGAAGTTTTTAAAGCTTCATTTCGTTATAAGCAATGCATTTTATATTTTATTTATTTCTGTAGTATTTTTGAAATCAGGGCATATTAAGATTTTCAGAAGTACTTATAAACACTTCAGTTTTATCAGTTTTTAACTGCTCAGAGTTATATAGCTTGTAAGATAATTTCATGTAGTTTATTGTTCTAGCTTTAAATGGAAGAACTATCTGCCTTTAACATCTGAAGCACTGCACAGTCTTCCTGCATACAATCAGAATATTGTTGTGGAATAATAAACTGTTAAATCACTGTTTTGATATTAAAGCTTAATAAAACAAATATAATATTCATATTTTGCATCTTTGATAATATGCAGTTGTTGTGACAGATGTGACAGATCAAAATAAACCTCAGTTCATTCAGTGCAGTTGCCAATCTAACCATGCTGTATGAATGTATATAATGACCCAGTTCCATAATGGCTGTTCTTTAGTATTAAAGGAAACTCTCTTGCACTGTGTTTGCAGTGGAAATGACTGTCTCACTTTTCAGAAGGATGTGTCAGCACTAGGCCTTTTTCATTTGAATTACCTTAGAAGTGAAAGTTTTGACCTCTAGTCACCTCTTGTCATCTACCATATCGATACATATGAAGTATTAATTCCAAAACCCACATTTAGGCCCCATTTAGACCAAAGCATCAGATAACCAGAGAAAAATCTGTCTTATTTTTTGTTTGCATACTGTGAACTAGAAATCTGATATCTAAGGATATAATCTTTTCAAGCATCTTTTCAACATGCACCATCACGTATAATTGGAAATTGGGTTTGCATTCCATTTTGTCTTTCACTCTTTGAATAGGAATCAGTAGGGATTGTATAACACAATTCTTACTTCATCATTTCTTGATACAGATATTCTGTATTAACTGTCTACTCCCACACATCCGCATAAAGTGCCAGAATTAGACATCTGCAGATACTTGTGTAGCTTGCATATTCTCTGGGATTTTATTCTTCAAAATAGCCTATTTCAGGGAAATACAGTCACCAGCAGAATGCATTGTTCATTTAAGATTTCTCTTTAAAAGAGATTCAGAGAGATTTATCTTATTTGTCAAAAAAAGTCTTGTCTTTTAAGGAGAGAATTATGCTTTGTTTTAGCCTACATGAACTCTCCGGGTGACTTGCTCCTAATATGATGATGTACCTTAAATCTCTGAACCATTGCATTACTCTGACATTTCAGATAGTCATTTATTGTGCCATTTATTTAATACTACTTAGCTTAGAACATCTGCCTCTGTAGTTTGCATTTCCTTAGGACTGGGCCATTCTTCTCTGTAATCATTGAATGTGGTAAAATAAAACATCAGGAACTAGGATACAGCTTTTCTGTGTTTTTAAAAATTAGCTTTTTTTTGTTTTGAGGTAACTGCTTTACAAATGACAGCCGTGCTGACTAGCCAGATCAAGTATTAAATGGCTGATTTCTGCCTGCCTTATTCTCTACAGTCATTAAGTTTAGCTGTTGCTTCGGAACAGCTGCTATTTTTTTCCCAAACTTGCAGTATTTTAGTTACTGTTGATATCCCTTTATCTCTTTCAGATCTGTTTGATACTGGCCAATAAGCTTAAAAATAAATAAGGGCTATGAAATGGAGATCTGAAGACACAAATCCTATCACTATAGGAAAGCATGTAAAAGTTGTTTGTATGTGACTTCTGCTGGCAAAGACACTGATGACCCCCTTTAAAATACACATACTAAAAAAAAAATTTTCAGTGAGCCTGGTCAATGAAATCAGAACTCGTAATTCTACAGATATTTGGAAATAGGCCTGTTTCTGTGAAATTTAATTACTGTAGTACTTCAAATTGATAGTGAAAAACCTGTAGTTCCTCAGCTCTTCCCTGGAAGTGGAAGTATTAATTTTAAAGTATTAATCTGAGAATTAAACTAGTCCCAGTATTTGAAGAGGCTTAAATGCTTCAATTAAATTTTGTTATTAAATGTAACTGAATTAGCCATTACAAGTGAACTTGAAACCAATACTCCTTTCTCCCTAATTTAGTGTTGTTTTTGCTTCATCAGTGGAACCATCTGTCTCTAAGATACTGAGCATTTAAATATTTCCTGGGCAGTTATCTCTATAATAATTTTATTTGTTGAAGGGACATTAATGACAAACTTCTAAATACCTTAAAGTATATTTTTGCCATTTGTTTTTGTAACAGACTAAACTTGTTTGGGGTTTTTTTGGTGAAAAAAATTGTGACTGCTAAAATAACTGTCATAATTGCTTTCTTCTAGTGAGGTAAAGTGGTATAAATGGTCTAAAACACAAAGAAATAAAATGCAGTGATGGATTTTGGTAGATACCAGTGTGTGGAGATTGAGAAATTAAAAAAAAAAAAAAAAGGCAAGCTGATTTGTAGGATCTTAAAATATTTAAGGCCTATCTTTTACTTACATTTCTGGCAAAAAACCATAAATGGGCTAATACAGGTGTTGAGAAGTAGTTTAAGCATTTTGGTAACTTCTACTGAGAATAAAATACTTGGGAGGAAAAAGCCATTTCATAGTAGTAATAAACTATATACAAAAATGTACTACTCAAGGAAAAATTTGTAAAATTTTGTAAAATTAGACTATTATTTATGATCTTTAAGTGTATGTTTTAGGTGACAGTGTGATACCACTTGCTAACAGTGATGTCATCCATGAAAAAAGACCCAAAACTAAAATTTGACATGCATATTTTTCTCTCCTGTGTGATGTTAGCTAAACTTACTTATATTGGTGTTTTTAGCTAAACTTATATTGGTCTTTTTAGCTAAACTTATATTGGTGTTTTTTACTAAAGCCCTTAGAGACGAAGCTGATTTCTGAAACTTCATCTGTTTGCCAAGCAGAACAAGTTGCCAGAGTTATAGTCAAAGATGCCATAGTAAGTAAATTATGTTTCTAAAGTATGTCCTGTGTTGAAGAGACTAGGATCACATGTCATGCTTGCTTAAGACCATAAGATAATGGCTAAGCTAAATGCAAAACCAATTTACACAAAACAGTACTCTTTGGTTAGTTTGAACAGGATTTATTTGCTTTATTCTTCTTTTGCCACTGAGCCCACAAATGATTTTATGCAATCTCTTGAAAGTAAAAGGTATCTGAAGTTGTACATAGACAGAATAAAATGATGCATCTGTATGATGCAATGTCTCAAAGGTAGATTATGACTGTCTTGAAAGCACTAAATTCTATTGACTTTTTATGTATCAAATACCATTTGTCTAACCTCAAAAGCTTGTTGTACTGTCTTTATTTTTCTTGAAGATGAGTTCATATAAAAATAATTATACATAAAGGAAGGCATTTGACCTCTTTTGGCTTTTACTGTCTAAAGTATGCGATTTATGAGTGATTACAATACATAAAATGCCGTTCCTAGTGATTAAAGGTGTACTGCTTTTCTGAGGATTTTTTTTCCAATGTTTTGTGCTAGGGAAGGCTTGCATGCTTAACAGAGTACCTCAGAAAAGAAACAAACATGAAATTTCATGATCATAAAGCACACTGATTGAATCCTAAAATCTGCAATTATTTTGCAGTTCCAAATATTCTTGACCTTCAGTGAGACTTACATCTACAGCAGGTGTTCAGTTTTGAAGTTTTTACAGTATTTTCACAAATACAGCATATAAACACAAAATCATATCTGATTTTGGCGTGGTGAGTTTTAAAAGCAAATACTACCTCAACACAGTATTCTTCTTTGGTGTTTAAGGAAAACTAATCTCCTCTCTGACCTTAAGAATCTGGTATTTCTATACCATCCTTTCCAGCACTTTGTATCATATATTAGTTCAGCTGTGGTCTTTATGCACTCTAGCCATCAGCTGAGAGACTAAAATAGAAATGAGAATGTATCTGTGTACTCGCAGGCCTCTCAGGTGTGTACTGGGAAATAATCAAATCTAATAACCTCTACTACTTTGCATAGATTCACCCCTAACCTTGATTCGGGAACACCACCTTTTCCTTTCAGTTCCACATTCCATCTAGTCCTGCACTGTTTCAGGCAGTCTGTTTTCCAGCATGAAGTGTAATGGAAACAAATGGGAGAAGCCTGGGAGTCAGAGCTATAGAACTGCAATTTTACTGATGAGTAGTTAAAAACCAAACAACTTTTTCCTCATGTCAGTCCTCCCTTTTCTGCCAGATGAAGTGCTTAAGCAGCAGGCTGTGTCTCACAATTCTGAGGAGAGCACGTTAAAAGTCCTTGCTGTAGATGAAGAGGGACCTGTTACCTAACATCTGAAATACACTCCCTTGCCAAATCTTATGTGATAAGCAAACTAATTTTAACAAAATGCAAGCTGTATTTTGTTACACAGTTCCGGGTAGTGATTGGTGGCCTGACAGAGTTAGGGTGTAATTCTGTCTCTGAAATATGCTTACTGCGAAGGCCATCATGCATTTTATCCACCATCTGTTTTAAGCATGCCTCAAGAAGAAATTTAGAGCCTTTATATCTTGTAAAAATCTGCAGTAATTCAGCACACCTCTCTCTAAAGGCAGGTTAGCTTCCTTGTCCATTTTTAAGTGAATGCTTTTTGGAATGTTGCTGTATAGCCCAAAATATTTTTTAATATTTTGATTCTTAATTGAGGTAATATTTTTTTACATAAAAATATTTCTTGTTAGTTATATCAGTCATCTGTGTCCATCAGGAGTAACTGTTGAAATAAAACACATTATGATTTGCCACAGTTGGGTAAATTCCTTTTTGTTTTCTTAATCCTTCCATCCAGCAAGGGAACTTTAACAGCTCAGTTGGATCAGATGGTTACATGCTGTCAATATTGACAAGTGGAATGTCACCAGTTACTTCTATTACTGAAGGTCTCCAGCAGGTAAGATTTGGGAAGGCCCTGTTGTCACAACTTTTAATAGTTCAAAATACTTTAAAATGTAGAACATTATGTGAATATTGATTGTTTTTTCATCAAGTGGCTGTTAATACTGACAGGTTTTGAAAACTGCAGTAGTATTTTCAAACTGAAGTTGGCTGGTGAGCTAAGACCACCCCCTGCTACTCAGGCCTGAACTATTACATAGTTAGGTTGGTTTTCATGAGTTTGTTTTTTGGAGGTTATACAACACACCTGCCTAGAACTTTTTTTTTTCATTTCATGATTAAATAATATGCTGCAATCCAAGATCCTAAATTAATTGAAGGATGTTTCTCTCTGTTTCCAGGTTGTTTGCATGGGCATTTTTCGAATCATTGGCCTATTTTACCTAGGAAGTTTTGACAGCATAGTTCGTCGCTGCATGATGCAAAGGGAAAAATCTGAAAGTGCAGATAAAACTGAGTAATCTTTATTTTGAGTGGAAAGAAGAATGTCAACCAGTCCTGGACAGCTAGCTGCTTAAGTGGGACTCAGTTTTGCTCCTGAAGGATTTAGACTGGAAGTACTTGCCTGTGTGACAGAGGAGTCCCCTCAAAAGCTATGAAAGAAAGCAAAAGTACAACTCCAGAAAATGCCAAACTATGCAAAAATGTGAATGAGGATTAGATAGGTGTTTTGTTTTGTTTTTTTTTTTTTGATGATTTGAGTTGGAGAGAATTTGGAGAGCTTGTAAGTGATCTGCAGAGTAGAATTTGAGAATGGACTATATGCGGTAATTCTGGACAAATACTTAAGTTTTCTCATTTTGGTGCTTATGGGCAAAATAAGTACCATGACAGACCAGGCTGAAATAGATTGAAGTCCCCTGAACAAGTTGATACCTTTTGATAATGTTTTGGGACTTCTTTTAGTTTAGAATGTTAGATTTTTCTTTGGCCAATCTACAGATCCTTCTGTCAATGACAGCTTTCCTTATTCTATCCAACATGTGACTGTGGAAACCCTGAGATGGCAAATACATTTGTATGATCCAAGCTTTCTCAGTCTGGGAGCAATTAAAAAGTATGGTTTAATATATGCATACTTTCTAAAGGGAGATGAAGAACCCGTTCCCACAGAGAAATGCTAGGAGATGTGATCAGGTCTGTAGCTCTTCTGGCCTTTGAAGTATGTTGTGAACAACAAAAAAAAAATCTTACCAGTATCAAATGTGTTGATTATGACTCAGCATTTTAAGCCATTGAAACAATGTACAATTTTTACAGATACTTAATCTGCCAGTTTTTGCTCTGGAAAGGAAAGTAGCTTAATGCTACTGTAATGCACATTATTTCAAAGCTGCAAATCATGAGCCAAACAAGTAGTTGATGATAGAATTGATTGTAATTAAAATGCCAGGCTCTTCCAGTAGCAGGAATGTAGCTTTTTAGGGCAGAAGTGTCAGGAGGAGGGAGAGAGGTGTGTGTCAGAATGGCCTTCCACACTTCATTTTATCACTACATGGAAAAGCTTTCACATGAGAAATTATTTAAAATATTCTCCTTGTATGACCCACTTCTAATTTGTTTCATTTACATAACATGAAACAAGGCTGCTCAATAACTGCTTCAGAATACACAGAACCCAGTGGTTGTTTCTAATCTCATTCAACACTGAAAAGCTTGATGCATAGCAATGATGTTTTAAGGGTGCACTATATATACTGTTTATTAAATGGACCACTATAGTAAGTGCCTTGTGAGCTGCTTTTTTTTCAAAAGCTGCATATTTTGTATTTGTTAGCACTGCTGTGTTTTCGATGTCATATTCTCCATTTTCATTCAGTACTCTGAATCTAAAATTACGTGTAAAACTGGGCACTTTCACTTCCTTGAAAGTAGTATTTAACAACCAAAATAAACAAAATTTGATTGCTTTTGTTAAGATATTCTCTATATCTATTTAAGAAGAGGTATTCAATTAAACTGAGATGAAAAGTAATAGGTGGTTAACTGGAAAACCTTAGAATGTAGTTTATTGAGGTGATTTATTTTCCCTCTCTGAATTAGGCTAACCACTTTTAAATTTTCCACATATACTAAACTTGCTTTAATACCTGGTTTACAAACATATTTTTCAAACAGAGTCACATTGGCACTCTCATTTTAAGTGGTTTGACTTCCATTAGATTGCAAATGTTGAGGCACTATTGAATTCTTCATGAAGCCTATGTTTTAGGTCCTGCCTCCCGATTTTGTTTAGATATATGAAGTTGTGCATGCCTATAATATAATGCTAATTTTGAGAACAGAGTGTATTCCTGCATTTTTAAACAGCTCAGCTTCAGTGCAAAGAAATCTAGTGTGCATATGTATTTCCTGTGCTGCTTAGTGTGAATGACATAAGGGAGCATTCATCATACATCCATTGTCAACATCGCTGTGTTTTCTAAAGCAACATAATGCTTTTCAGACCCTATGATTGATGTTAACTCTTGTTTTGATAAAAATCAAATACTCTTTCAACCATCTGCAAAAAAATACCAAAATGGGTGAGTCAGTTGTGCTCTAGTTTGAAAAAAATGCTTCTGTAAATTACTTGATATCAGCACGAGCTTGGAAGTCAGGACTTAAAACCAGTAAGCCTTTGGATACTTGAATTTTTGGATCGTCAGCTTGGAATGCTAAAGGGTTTGCATTTAAGAAACATAATCCAGAAGGTCAGAGCACACATGACACTATGGCAGCTGGGCCTCTAAAGGTGTCAGGTTGGGCATCTTTGATCACCACTCACTACTTCTTGACTGAAGAGTCCTCCCAATAATGACTGATATAATTCAGTGCAAGTGTCTGTGAAGGAGAAGTAAGACTACTGGGTGAAAGTTATGGCCCTGATCTACAGAGACTTCAGTTCACACCTAATTTTGCATAGTGTAAGTTGTTGTGTTGACAGTGAAACTTTACGTTGAACCCCTCGGCAATTGTGGAAATTGGAACAAGGCAAGTTTTTTGAATCAAGAATAATAATCTTTTTTTCAATGTTCTATTTTCTGCTGTTGCAAGTTATTGATGTTAATTTTAACTGATAAACTTCTCAACTGTTTTACTGTCAAAACAAGGTAAATTGTCAACTACAGCAACCTTTGGTGTAAATTTTGTTTTCTTATGCACATTCTCTATTTACCAATATACTCATTTTAAGGTCCAATATAAAGTGAAGGAGATGCCTTGTAATCTTGTGGAAAAATGTTTAGCAGTCGAAAAACTATTTTGCCAGTTTAAATGTTACAAAACCTCTGCATTGAAATGTTTTAGCAGTGTATTAAATCCGTGAAGATCTTCAAATAGGCTTTATTACTTTTTGTCAAATTGTCAATAATTTAATCACTTGTGCCATATCAATCGGTGTCTTGTCTCGTTTTCTTGGTCAATCTTTAGGATTCAATTTAGGCTTGGATAGTCTTTTCCATTCCATGTAGTTTCTAATGACTGTCTGCTTTACATACAGATTTATTATAACTTTACTTATAGTTTACTTCAACAAGGTGTTCACGTGCAATTTAAGTAGATTTAATATTTTACTAAGAAAAAAAGACATAGGTAAATAAACTTTATTTGCTGTGAAAAACTCTAGGCACTTTTAAATGGTAAAGATATATAGCGTTATTTGTAAAAAGAAACTTCGTGCTTATTGCGTCATCATTTTTTGTGCCAGAACTGTAAACTAGTTTTCATATTTTATATTTCACAAAATAAATGGAGAATCAACAAAGCCTGTAACTTTTAAGTTCTTTTTAGAGGATGAAGAGTAGTGGCTAAATTCGTTTGCAGGATGTGGTGGGGGGGTTATTTTGTTGGGGTTTTTTTAAATATGAGATCAACAGGATTCTGTTAATTGTGTAGCACAGCAGAGTATATCCCTCCATTTTAGCAGCTTAGGGCAGAGGTAAAAAGGGATGTAAAGAATTCAACTGGGAATTGTCAGCAGACCCAGCATCCCCAAACCATAATGAAAGTGAGATTAAATTGACAAAGCCTTTCTTACTGGAGGTGCTGCCAGTTCTATAACTAGTGCTTGTGCTCTCTGGAATTGCTTGTGAATCCTGAGGAGCCAAGCAATGCTCATTCTTCCTAGTGGAAAACAATAGAAGTAATAGTTAAGATAGATGTCTTTCTGTACTAGCACTGAGCATGCAGCTGTATAAAGAAACACTGTATCATGTTTGAGCTCTGTAGTAAGAGGGCTTGAGTGTATAGCTTGCTCCAGTATAATAGTAGGGGAGGAGTAGCGCCAAGATACTTATTCCCAAACTAAATTCAAAATCTCAAATGTTCAGTCTTTTAAAAAGACATTTGTATTAAGTTGTCAGAGAGCCAAAAATCAAAGATGGATTGAGGAAAGCATAGGCTATCTAAAATTGTGTTTTAAAGCTGTGGGGCTGATGTTAATCTTTTAATTCTCCAACATTCTGCATCAAGGTTACAACTGGAGCTCCTGATTTCTCCATTTCAGTAAAAGTAGCAGGCCAAAGTAGATTGCTCCTCAATCCTTTTCATAACTCCATTTCAGCTACAAGGCTAAATTATCTGATAGTTCCATTTAATTGTTTTTTTTCCCTGCCCAGCCAGTACCAGGCACACTGAAGGGTAGGTATGTGTATGATTGTCTGTCAAAGGTTGTAGTAAAAACCTCATGAAGTCATTTCCTTTCTTCTGTCACTGGGGGGTGACTTTAAATGAGGTGTCTGTCTTGCCCCACCACCCAACCTCCTTCTCTTCCTCTTTCACCCTAGATGCTCTAAATTGGTGAGAAAGATGACGGTGTTAATGTTCTGTTGGTGATGGTCTGCGGTGGGGGGGAAATAATACTGGTACACTTTTGGATGAAACTCACACTGAAGAAAGTGGAAAGTGCAAATACTTTTTTTTTTAAACCCCAAAAGATGCATACCTAATTATTATGGGAGGGGCATTTAATTTGATGTGGGGGGGATGTATTTCATAAAGTTGTTTGTGAAGGTTTGCTGTCTGGGGAAACCTTGCTGAATATAACACCAAATCTCCTCTAGGGTAGAATACCACCAAGTCAGTCTGAAATTTTATTTTTTTTAATTTAAACCTTTCCAGTTCTAACTATGAAGTTGGTTCTGTAGTACTGCTGCTAGTGCAGTATAAATAAATAAAAGGGGTGAAAGCATAATGTACATGACTAACACAATCATGCTACCAACCACCAAGAATCAACTCCCTTGACCAAAATATGGTGTTAAATCCGTGAAGGTACCAGCTGTAAATAATATATATAAAACTAAGTCTAAAACCAAATTTTAATGTTTTAGGTAACTTGCAACTGAAGGGAATGCCCTTGTCAAAGCTAACAAGTGCTTCAAAGAAAGTGATTAAAATGAAGCATCTTGGTCTTTATTTCAAAGCATTTACTCAAAAAAAAAGTGCTTTCCCTCTTTTTACTTGGAGAAATTTTAACAGGTGTAATAAAAGTTTATGAATCAGAGATGGATATTCCTCTTTGTCCAGCAGCCTCTTTCCGTTTCCTACGCCTCTGTGTGGAAGCTGTCTCCTTTGCTTTTCTGCAGTTTCAGCTGGGAAGTTGGTCTCCAATTCTTTTCAACATAGCTGAAAGAAAGGGCATGGGCAGCATTGCCTGAATCAGAAGCACAGGTTGGCAGCTTGCAAAAGGTGGCAAGACAGCTCAGCTTTCATACAGATAAGACCCTATTGTCACATAGTGGAGATGTCAAAGAAAAGGATATCCAGAGCTGGATGCAGCTGTTCTGCCTCCTTCCAGCCCAAACCATTGGGCTAATGGATCTTGACAAGAAGTGAGGATGATTGAGGGATGAGCACAGTAAAAGGCATCTGAAACTCAGGAGCTGTTTGCTACGTTGGACCCTAAGGATATTATCCAAGTATCTCATCCAGCTGCCTTTCCTGATGAGCACAATTAAAGCCTGTGAAATAAACCATAATTGCAGGTTGGGCGTGCTTTAAGTGTTTTACAGTAGCATTATTTGCTCTGCAAGCGCTTCCAGCCAAAAAGGATTCACTCCACACCTGCAGCATTTGCAACACCAGCAGGATGAAAGGCAATCTCCCATTTCAGGAATGCAGTCTGAAGAAGTGAAGTTTGTTCAGGTAAACCTGCCACCATCCTGGTTAAAAATGAGTAAAACACACATCCAGGCTTCATGGGTACTACCTTTCCCTATATTTTTACATGCAGGAAGCTTTTTTCAAGCATTCTATACAACAGATGCTAGTCGCTGCCTAGGCAGCAATGTTGGGCCACACGTTGAACAAACCCGATGAGACGCTCTGAACAATGAATCAGGTGGCATGCAGCTGATGGCAGAGAGTTATATGCACGCATGCAAGTCTCTACAAGAGAATTGCTTTCAAGGCATTTCATCCAGCTTGTCAGAGATACCATAGATCCATGGGTATTGTGGTCTCCTGGACAGAAACAAACGTGAAAGACCATGTGGTTGGTGGTTAGTCTTAGGGTGAGTTATAAAGCTCTTGCAGACACAAAGGCACACAGAGCAAATGCATGATGGCATGGAAAGGAGCAGTACTGAATGCCTGGAACAGAGGGAAGCATGGCCGTGGGTGGCACAGACAAATGCCTCACTGGACACAGCATCGAAAAGTCTTTACAGAGCCACTGACTGTGTGAGGAGTGGCTTGCTAATTTGCATATGCGCAAATTTCTCACCCATGGGCACAGTCTTAGTGTACTCTTTCAATAAATCTCCTATTTCAGCTGTGCTAGAACATCATAAGGCAACGGACCTCTTTAGGTGTCATAATTGTATTTAACCTATATTGCTCTAGATACTACTTTTCAGTTACTCAAATTTAGTTTACTGGTTTTGGTTTTTTGGTTGGTGGTGGTGATGGTTTTGATTTTTTCTAGAATAAAAAATCTCTGCAGATTTAAAAAAAAAAATGTGGCAATGTCCTTGTTCAGTGTGAGTGCAAACATACACCCTGCTTGTTTCATGCCTGCTCAGGCAGGGCTTTAAACAATCGTTTGCTTCTCTCCAACTTGCCTGTGCGTGAGCCAAGGAAATAAAAGGGTGGGCAGGTCACCAGGAACCAGAGTTGCTGCTGAAAGCCTGTTGATGTTAACACAAAGGTACAGGGAAAAGGTGTCCGCTTTCAGATTGTTGGGAAGTTCAGTGTTGCCAGGCATTACAAACTTTCTAGATCATTTGTTAATAATACATCTACAGTACAGTGCGCATCTGGGAAGCCACTGAAGAAATAGCAGGCTTTGTAGGATCCTGTCTGGTCAGTTGCCCAAGCATGGATAAAAAAGCCGTCCCAGAAAATAATCTGTCCTTTGCACTGCCAGACCTGACCAATGCCTGTTGTCAATGCTCCTGCCTCTTTAATTGTCGAGAGAGCTTTTTTCAGGTGAGCTGCTGCTTGTATTCCTAATCAGGTTCCAATTCTTCATACAGTTAATTCTTCTTATAAGTCTGATCAGCTTTGGTGGGCCAGCTCACGTAAAGGTAAATGCGGGTGTGCGGAAGGATTTGCAGGATCAGATCTTGAGTACTCAGCATGTTATTCTGCTACCCAAAAGCACCGTAATGATTTCTTAGCTGACTTCATGCACTGATTTTATGTTCCTTGGTAAATCCTGAGCCTCTGTGCCATTTCTTCCATCTGCCCCCAAAACCATATTGCCTCTTTTTAACTGTTGTTTTATCCTGCTGAGCTCAAATAAACAAGCAAGGTGAAAAGCAGTATTGTGATGCAAACTCGTGACGCTGTAATAGATGCTCATCACCCACTCAGGTAGCATGATAATTGTTTTTAAGATGCCTCTCCCTTCAATTAGAGCCATACAGGTCAGATGCTTGACACTTAAATGTTAAGAACAAGACTTTAAATGTACGTAATTTTCTTTTGCTTTTTTACAGAGTCACAATTTGCCATTCTTCAAGGCACAGTTTTTGTTTCCTGTGACTCATCCCTAATACCCTTGCTTAAAGCAAACAGTTCCTAGGATTTTCCTTTGTGTTTTTAATTTTTTTTTTGTACAGTCTCAGCTGCGTTTGGTATTAGCAAGATTTCTGGTGAACCATGACCGCTATTTTCCTATTAAACTTTTAAAAAAGCTATCATTCCTATAGCAAAGTGCTGAATGAAGAGCTGGTGGGGAAAAAGCACCGTTACTAAGTCCCTTCCAAACAGAGTAGCTCATAAATTTTTGCTGTTTCATCAAAAATCAGTTACGAATTCTGAAACTATTTTATTTTTCTGATTATATGTCCTTGGTACATTTAGTTGGTCTTACTTCCATTTCTGCATACAAAATACCTTTAAATATCATAAGCAAAATCAGTGATATTTTCAATTCCTCCTTACAAAAGCCCATTAATTTTGTATGCATATTTGTTTTTTGCATCAGTCCCACACTGATTTATCCTCTGAACTTTAAAACCAATCTTGCTAGATGTTGTTGTGCAGTGCTGTGTTACTTAAGGTCTGTGTCTGCTGTATTTTCAGTTGCAGGACCCACTGCATTAGATTCAGTCACCGGCACAGTGACAGACTGAATCAGCAGCCTGGTTGGTTATGGCTGTTCTGATTCTCTGTATCACTTTTTTCCCCTAGCATGTTACATGGGAATGTCAGGTTGCTTTCTGTGTTCAGAGGAGACCTTTTTTCTTCATTCTCTTTTGGTGCGAGAATATAAAGGTTGTGATGTTACCTGGTTGACAAATCCCTTGTCTACGTTTC